GTTTCCCAGGGGAGAGCTGATGATGGTTTTCAGGACAAGAAGATGAAGGACATGGAGAGCACGTGGTGAGTGAGATATAGGATGAGGGAAGAAGAAAGGATTGGAAGTTATGTTAGATTATGGAGAACAAAAGGTTAACATCAGGCGTGGGTTCTTTCTTCCTAGAAAGGTAATATTGGATAAGTTTTCTAATAAGTTGTTCGTTTGTTTTTCTTCTCTGGAAAACTCATGAGGCTTTAATAAAGTGGAAGATCAGCTTCCTTACAAGGCCAGATTGTTGATAGCAAAATTAGCCTGATGTAGAAAGTGCATTTGGATTTAGAAGGATTTCCTATAGACCTCAAATGCCAGTTAATATGCTTGAATTTCATTTTTCATAAGGGGATTGTGACTTTTATAACTGTCCTTGTATATTTATGGCCCATGGATGCTATGCTTATGGGCTTTCACAAGGTAATTTGCACTCTGTAGCTCTCAGCTTATATAAACTTTAGTGGTTTCACACACATCTACTAAGTCTGGCTTCTTAAAAGGCTGAAATAACAAGAAATAAAGTACCTTCCACAGCACTGTGAAGACCACCACTAATAGCTTCCCTAAGACAGCCAATGTCAGCATGCCCTACCTCCTGAACTGTATCCTCAGCTCAGCTAAGTGACCTGACAGCTTATATCTCACAGGTCACAAGATGGTAATGACCATCCAAATTGGAGATGATACTGGTGGTCATTCAAAGAGGTGTGGACAAAAAGGACCACATGCTAACCTGAATAGCTCAGGAAAGGCCTGTGTGGTAGCCTTGCAAATTCAGAGACCTAAAGTAACCACAGAAGATGGTTACTCTGAAATTAAACATTTTAAAACTGAAAAAGAGCAGTTTTGGTGGTTAGTCATATTCTAGGCTGGCCTTTTTGCCTGACAAAGTCAATCTTTACTTTAACTGAGCCTGTCTAGTGTCCTTTTGCATCTACATTAACATATAGTTGGAATGTCAAGGTAATTTTTCTTTTTTTTCCGGACCCCTCAAAGCACATGCATCATTGTATGGAGACCATAAATACCCTCATTGTTATTGAGCTAATTGTTGACTGTTAACTATCCTACAGCCACCTAAGTAAAAGAAGATTGTCTGTCATTTTACTTTTTATCCAATCTCCTAGGTTCCATACACTCCCCTCTTTGCTTTCTTCTGCCTCAGCCTCCCTCATCTATCTATCACCAATGGATTTCATGTAACACACTTCTCTTTTGATTCTAATGCATAACACAAGGGGCAAAACTGTCATTCTCTGGAGCATTATCTCAATCCATTGAGAATCTGCTTCCAGCCATTGTGGACAGTTTGGCTTAAATAAACACACAAAACTTCTTCACAGGTTTGAATGTTTCTTAAGTTACCAGTGCCTATCACAGAGTGGTAACACAGTGATGCTCATTCTCCCACCTGGACTCCGTATGGCCCTGTGGCTACAGTCTAGGATCAGGAGCTCTTTCAGGAACTTCAAGTAAATGGGACTATGAAGCAATAAGGAAAGAAAAAATCTCACTAGATATTCACGTCTTGATGGTTGCCAAAGTTTGATGGTAAAAGAAAGATCTGCAGAATAAGTTAATAAATTTTCCCTTTGGTCTGTTCTCCAAAGGGAAAAATTATAAAGGCTGCATGGAGAGGAATTTAGACCCACGAACACTGACTACTGGTGCCACGGTCATTATACATGAAGGGAACCTGATGAGGAATGAGGCTGAAGGAGAACAGACGTGTATTCCAGCTGGTGGTCCAGATACTGAAAACAGCCCAGAGGACACATGCAGTTAGCCCCTGGCTGTAGGATCAGGGATAGACATTGTATCAGGGTAGATATCATTTAGTATCTATCCCTGGTTTATGACTCCAGCATGATTCAAACTTGGGGTAGGAACCTCCAATTATTTTGCATCTCATCCAAGATCCAAGCAATCCTGAGACCCACCAGGAGCCTGGAGAGGAGGGAGGAGCACAGCATGCATTCTGCCTTGGGGCTGCAGAATTTATTTTATGGTGGGGCTACAATGAGCTAAGTAAGGTCCAAGCACCTGCTGCCACAGGACACAGAAGAGGAAAGTGCAGAGGAGCTTGAGTCCTCACACATGGAGTTTGACCCACCACTATCTAAGCCAGGGGTGGGCAAACTTTTTGACTCGAGGGCCACAATGGGTTCTTAAACTGGACGGAGGGCCGGAACAAAAGCATAGATGGAGTGTTTGTGTGAACTAATATAAATTCAAAGTAAACATCATTACATAAAAGGGTACGGTCTTTTTTTTTTTTTAGTTTTTTTCATTTCAAACGGGCTGGATCTGGCCCACGGGCCGCAGTTTGCCCACGGCTGACTAAGCAGTGACCAGGGCTCCCTAGCAGGCAGGCAGATAGATATGGGAACAGGAGTGGTGTCTGCGCTGGAAGGATATCACACATGTGAAGCCCATCCTTGAGGACTTAGGGGTTTGTGCCCCACATGAGGCTCTCTGGGCACCTGCACCAGAACCCTGAACCCACAGAGTGTCTCCCTTCAAAAAGGAATAAGGCTTGTGCCCAGAGAACCCTAGGGGTGTAAGGTACAGGAAATTCCTCTTTGAAAGGGCAGGTGAACAGGGCTTAAAGATCTTATAGGACTTGCTCCATGACCCGCGCAAAAGCAGGTTTGAGAAGTGCCCAGACCATGTGAAAAGGAAATCCTTCTCCTGCAGGAGGTGTGGAAGCCTGTTGTACTCTCACCTGAGCCTGAGATCTGGGGAATGGAGGGGACATTGGTGCTCCACCCCCTTGCTTATGAGACCAGGGCTGCAAGTCTCTCTAACCAGTCAGAGCTCCTGGGTGTGCCTGCCCCATTCCTCTGCTGCAGCCCCGCCCACTGAGCTGACAGCGGAATGCTAGGCCCCAACCCCCTACCAGAGGCATCACTCCTGCCCCACCTTCAGGACCCTACTGGAATGGCCTCTGCCAGCCAACAAGGCCCCGCCCCAGCTATTGAGACCAAGGCTCTGGTTTTGGGGTTGGGAGGGGATTCGTTTTTTCATGCCCAGAGGTCTGCAATAATGAAAGACACAGTTGTTGGCAGACTAGCAACCCCCCTCCCTCCGGCCACCGCCCCAGATAAGGCACAGAGAGCAGAGCAAAACTCACCCCCATTTTTCCAGGGAAAAAGGCCTACTCACTTGTGGAGTTTCAGCGTGAGGGGAAACGTGGTGATAATTCACTCTCCAAACCAGCTGCAGGAGGAGCAGAATGAAAATGAAAGTTAAAATTCTTAGGGGAGGGGCAGGAAAGCAGAAAATCTATGGACCAATGAGAGGCCTTCAAGAGGACATCAGGGAAATACCAGCCCTTTGTGCCTTAGCTCAGAGGGGCCAGTGACTATATTCTTAATCCTATCTCAGTTCTGCTCCCTGAAGCTGTTCTCATGGCTCTCACAGTAATTCATCCTCTGGAGAACTAGGCTGACCTGAGCTGTGACTGTCACACACATCAACCTCATCTTGTTCCCTTAGGGATGAGGTGTCATGAGGAGGGAATGAAATACCTCCTTCAACACAGGGAGGACACCCTCCCTGAAGGCCCACCTGAGGCAGTGATCCTGGCAGCTCTCCCCTGTCCTGTCCCTACCAGCTAAGCTAAGTGACCCTGGCCAACTTGTGTCCTAGCCATCTGTGAGAGGGAACGGCTGCCCAAATCTGAAGTTACCTCAGGTGGTCAGCCAGGGGGGGGATCATTGAGTGGTAGCATCATGATGCTGGCTTTCAGAACCTGGATTCAATAAGGACAAGAGGACACTTTTCCTAAATGGACTGCACAGATCAAACTACATGAAGTGTCATTTTTGGGCAATGTTTTCTAATACCATTTAGCATATAATCTTTATAGTCTTAATATAATAGAAGTGAAGCAGGAAAGTAATTGTGAGGAATAACTATGAGTCAGCATGACTGTCCACTGGTTGCCCAGATTAAGTATTATTTCCGAGTGTGTCTGTGAGGGTGTTGTTTCCAGATGAGATTAGCATTTGGATCTTTAGTCACAATAAATTAGATTAAGGGTCTAGGCCAGCAGTTCTTAACCTGTGGGTCTCGCCTCCTTTGACAGTTGAATGACCCTTTCACAGGGGTCGCCTAAGACAATCCTGCATATCAGATATTTACATTACGATTCATAACAGTAACAACATTACAGTTATGAAGTAACAACGGAAATAATTTTATGGTTGGGTCACAACATGAGGAACTGTATCTAAAGGGCCAGAAGGTTGAGAACCACTGCTAAGCAGAACAATGAGGCAGAGGAAGAAAGAAAGGTGTTCCTTTTCCTTCCTGCCTACCGGCTTGAGTGGGGCTATAGGTTTTCTCCTGTCCTTGGACTAGGACTTACACCATTAACTACCCTGGTTCTCAAGCTGTTGAACTTGGACTAAACTGCACCACCAGCTTTCCTGAGTGTCCAGTTTGTAAAAGGCTTGGCCAGGAACTAGTCAAACTCTATAATCACATGAGCCAATTTCACATATATGAAGGTTTTATCTATAATATTGGTTCTGTTTCTCAGGAGAACCCTAATAGAGTATGGAACAATTCTAAAGTCATGTGTTAAGTGGCACAGGTGAAATGTAATAATGATAATGGTGATGACTCTGGTGAACAGTGCAATTTCAAAACGTGTGTGCCTAAAAATGGCTGATGGTAGTGAAGGGTACAAGGACAATGTTATAGAGGTGAAAACACACAAAGTCATCTTGAATTCAGTTTGAGAAAATCCTATAAGGAGAAGCCAGAGGAGAGAGAGAGGGGAGGAGGGGCAGGAGATGACTGAGTCAGTCTTGGCACAGCTATGTCTTTAACAGGAGAGGTAGTTAAATAAATGAATGAAGAGGCACCTGTACCTTAGCTCACTTTTGTCATTGGTCTTAAGATTTTGTTGTCATGACACTTCTGATATTTTTTCAGATTATTAACACCAATCAAGCCTCTCATTATGCTGTATGAATTGTTATAAACATGTCCCTTATGGAAATATTTCCCATGTGCTCCTCCTGCTCCTGATCTCTCAGCTTTGTTCCTCAATAATCTGTAAGAAATATCAAAGTGATAACATAGGTTTAAGGTACAATATAACTAGTAAAATACAGCATTAATAAAATATAAAGGCTGCATTGAGATGAATTTAGACCCACTAAAACTTCATATAAGATGTTCATCTTATATGAAGGGAACCTGATAAGGAATGAGATTGAAGGAGAACCAAAGTGTATTCCAGCTAGTGGTCCAGATACTGAAAACAGCCCAGAGGCCACATGCAGTTAGCACTGGCTGCAGAGACTGTGGTCCAGATCAGCCTCTGATGAACAGCAGGGTCAGAGATAGACATTGTATCAGGATAGATATCATTTAACATCTCCCCCTGTTTTATGTCACCAGCATGACACAAAACTGTGTAGGAACCTCCAATCATTTTGCATCTCATCCAAGATGCAACCCATCCTGAGACCCACCAGGAGCCTGTAGAGGGAGGAGGAGTAGAGCATGCATTGTGTCTTGGGGCTGCGGAATTTATTTTTATGGTGGGGCTACAAGGAGCTAAGGTCAAAGCAGCTGCTGCCACAGGACACAGTAGAGGAAAGTACAGATGGAGGAGGTGTGGGGGGATTGAGGTAAAGAGAGAGAGGGAGAGAGAAAGAGAATGATCTATCTAATAGACAATTATCTATTCCAAAACTACCTAGGAATCCCTCTCCCACCACAGGTCTTCCAGAAATGGAGAACTGAAGGATTTCTTGTGAGACAGGGACAAGAGCAGACCCTGGCCAAGTAGCCCAGTGTTTCTATTTCTCTTGGCTGATAAGCAGGTTGGGAAGAGTGGGAAATAAAAATGCCAGACGCGTGCTGCAGGAACACTCCTTCCATATTTTATTGCTTTTTTAATAGAGAGTAAGAGAGAGGGATAGAGAGTTAGAAACATCGATGGGAGAGAAACATTGATCAGATGAGAGAGAAACATCGTTCAGCTGCCTCATGCACACTACCTACTGGATATGTGCCCGCAACCAGGGTACATGCTCTTAACCAGAATTGAGCCTGGGACCCTTGAGTCCCCAGGCTGATGGTCTATCCACTGAGCCAAACCCGTCAGGGCTCAATTCAACTTTTATCTAGTATATTCACTTAGATTAAAAAAGCTATTTTCGTACTTAAAATAAAGGAGTAAATAGCTACAAAAAAAGAGAACACTTACTTTTTAAAAATATATATATTTTATTGATTTTTTACAGGGAAGGAACAGAGAGGGATAGAGAGAAACATCGATGAGAGAGAAACATTGATCAGATGAGAGAGAAACATCGTTCAGCTGCCTCCTGCATACTCCCCACTAGGGATGTGTCCGCAACCAAGGTACATGCCCTTGACCGGAATCCAAACTGGAACCTTCCAGTGAAGCAGGGGGTCCTGTGGGGGTGAGGCCGATGGAGTCCTAACGAAGCATGCCCATCTCCGGAGACCAGGTTCAGTGACGCAGATCTAAGTTTATTGTGTAAGTGCAGCGACATATATAACATTCTGGACCAATCAGAAGTTTACACTATCATTAGGGCAGCCAATAGTAGGAAAGATCAGGGTACTATGTAGGGGCTCTAGGGGGCTTGCTCAGGCGGGCGCTGCCACTTCCTGGTGTGCCGAGGAAGCTTGTACAGGCGGAGTGAGCTCACGCCATTGCATCCACCACTGCACTGAGATAAATCTCCTGAGCTCTTCCCACATTCCAGTCCGCAGGTCGATGCTCTATCCACTGAGCCAAACCGGTTGGGGCAACACTTACTTTTAAAATAAAGAATTAATTACTCACAGCACAATACAGTACAGTTACCTATAGGCATGATGTTATCCAGTAAATCTCTAGAATATATTCCTCTTGCATAACTGAAATTTTAAACCTGTGGAACTGCAGGGCCCTAAAAATTTAAGGCATTAGATCTTATATTGTTTTTACTCCAATTGAAAAAAACAATGAGATTAATAGTAGGCTATTAAATAGCAAATTCAAAGAGAATGTTTAGAAAAAATAAATTACAACTTACTATTGTATACTAGAAAACTAAAGATCATGAGATTAAATATATTTAGAAACAGAATATTTATTATGCAAGAAGATGAGATTAAAGAGAATGTGGTTCCTGCCCTAGACAGTTTTGCTCAATGGATAGAGCATTGGCCTTCGGACTGAAGGGTCCCACGTTTGATTCCAGTCAAGGGCACGTGGCTGGGTTGTGGGCTTCATTCCCAGTAGGGAGCATGAAGGAGGCAATGGAACAATGATTCTCTCTCATATTGGTGTTTCTATCTCTCTCTCCCTCTCTCTTCCTCTCTGAAATCAATAAACACATATTGAAAAAAAAAAAGAATGTGGTTCCTTCATGAAGTTATTCTATTTCAAAGCACAACAAAGGTACTAATATTTGAAGTAGATTAATATTCTTTCCTAACATTCACTATTTGAAATCACAGAAAATTAATCAACATGATTCTCGACTACTGCTTATGTGCTAGGAAATGAGAAAGTTAGTGAAAATGTTCTATTTTTCTTTTCTTTTTATATTATATGTCTTTATTGATTTCAGAGAGAGGAAGGGAGAGGAAGAGAAGGATAGAAACATCGATGATGGAGAGAATCATTGATCAGCTGCCTCCTGCACAGCCCCTACTGGGGACTGAACCCTCAACCCAGGCATGTTCTGGACTAGGAATCAAACCATGATCTCCTGGTTCATGAGTCAATGCTAAACTACTGAGTCACACAAGCCATTTATTTACACATCTGAAGAAAGGGGTGCTCTTTTTGATTTTTTAAATTTTTTATTTAATATTTTATTTAATATTTTATTTTAATCATCAATTAGATGATTATTTTCCTGTGACTATTTTCTAACTACCAATTTGTACTTTTTAAAAATATATTGTTTTATTCATTTCACAGAGGAAAGAAACATCCCTACCGTGGAACTAGATTGATACCCATTGCTATTGGGGTGCATAAACAGAGAGAGAAAGACCATCTGGGTAGTCCTGGGAGTTTTGTGTCTGTAGATAGTGGGTCTTTACCTTGGCCTGAACATAAGGCAATGTGTCAGCAGTCACCTAAAGCTATGTGTGTTTAGGCAGGTGGAGAAGTATTCATATACTCTGGATGACACACATGACAGAGACCTGTGAAACACAAATTCCAATGAGGCATCTGTTATTAGGAGAGAAAAGACTCAATATTAAGGCTGGTTATACACTGGAGAGATAAAATCTGTCCTATTCCAAACACATTACGTGCCATTATGAGTTGAATTGTGTCCTTCTGATAGATATTGAAATCTAACCCCCAGAATGTTTGAGAGTCACTTTATTTGGAAACTGCTGGGGTATTTCTCAGCATCTAGAAGCATTCAGGAATCTGGAAAAGGGGCTGTGCATAAATTTGTGGGAAACTGATATAGGGTTAAGCCACGTACTGACCTGTTGGCAAAGTCACAAACAAGTCCCAGCTTAGAGGGCACAGTCCTCTTAGCATAATTAGGCTTGACCTTATAACACTCCCCAGATCTTATCTGGGAAGCTAATGGGCTGAGGAAGTGTTACTACGGTCAAAACAAGTGAAACTCACAAGAACTGTGTAACTATGGTAATCACTACCTTGTTTACCTCTCACCACAAAAAGCTTGGTGAGGCCTGAGCACATGACAGGTGAATCCATTTGTCATTGTGATTTTAATTAAAAATTTTCAATATTTATAAAATGAACTTTCTCCTGTTTTGAGAGACCTGTAATAGCCACTGAGAAGTCAGTTGGTAGACACCAGGTATGAATCTTGTTCTGGTATAAAACACTGATATCTGATCTCGGAGATGAGGGAGAAAAGGAAAGCACACATCAAAATCTAAGTAACGCAAAGATCAAGGTACAAATTGCTCAAAGGTGAGACTAAGATGGGGTTCTTTAAAAAATTATAACTCCTTTTGAAATGAAGGAATCTGGCCAGAAATGAGCTGTTCCTTGTGCCTGGTGATCCTAAATTCCATTCCTGTTTTAACATCTGGATTCCTTATGATAACATCTGTTGCCACCTACAGCTGGAAAGAAGTGTTGTCTGTGAGCTTATTGTACATTTAAGAATAAAGGTTTGTAAAAATAAATACATAAATAAACAAATAATGCTAATTTAACAAAAGAGTAAGAGAACAGCTTCAAGAGGTTCTGATCCCTGCAGAGCCCCTAAGAGCCCGACCCTCCCACATGCCTCCTGATACGGCCTCTCACTCCTGCTGGCCTCACCAGGAGCCTGGGCTTTCTGAAGAGGGAGAACAGGGCTCCATCTCACAGGCTTCCTGGAGAACAGGAGGGAGGGATTTGCTGTCTGGGTATAAAAGAGTATTCTGGCTCACCATGGAAACGTAGAAAGTCAAAACTACAGAATAGAAAGAAGATGAGGTAACTCAGCCTGGAGAAATAATGGTCCCTCCAAGAAATAAATAAGACTCTGCTCTTTTAAACCCCCTTTCTCTAAAGATCACTCTTCCCCCTGACTCAGTGTTCCTCTTTTCTGCCACCTCAGCAGAGACACCCACAAGCAGAGCAGCTTCAGAAACACAATTTAAGACACCAAACACATTCAGTCTGCTCCCCCAAAGCCTCCCATCCTTTGTCTCCAGAAACTGCCCTGCTTACTTTCAGAAAATGTATAGGTGGAGTCTTAACTCAGTGGAGGAGATCAGCTGTAAGTCTAGTCAAGATTCACTCAGCAAGCCAGTGACTAGCTCTCCACAGAGGAGTTCCCCCACAGGAGTGGAGTGAGAAATGAAAATTAAGTTCATAGATGTGGAAAAGAAACTAAGGAAGCAGAACAGAAACTTAAGAACAATAACAATGGGAAGTCACCAGTCAGGACACTTAGGGAAGCCAATGCTTCAGCATATTCTTATAATTTTATCCCTTTTGTAGATTATTCTAACAAGAATATTTGAATAAGAAGAATGTGAAATCCAATGACACACTCTATAGCTTGCCTGACTACTCAGAATTTAAATTCAATTTTATACCAACTACTTAAGCTTATACTATATTCATGTCCTAGAAATCTTACTGGGTATAAAGTCATGACTTAGGAAGTCTGGGTACCTGCCCTTTGTAATGCAGAGTGTGATGGGGAAGATAATCAACTGCAGAGCTAGTTAGTTTGAGCTGAATGGTAGCAGCTGTCCTTGTGAAAGGTAAAATTGAAATTTTTGGAAAGATCCTTCTTTCCAAATAGCAGCTACAAAGAGCTGGTGTTTAGAAAATTTTTGAACCTATTGACAAATTTTTTCCACAACACCATTGAATCTGACCAGGCCCCTTGGATAACTACCAGTTTTTGTTTCTGACATAATGTGGTGCAGCTGTGGCAGTGACATGTTACCAGCAACTAGGAGGCAGGAAGGGCATGGAGATTAACACATGGAGCTCTACAAGTGGAGTCTTTCTCTGGGAAACACACACAACTCCCTAAGTGGCCACTTTCCCCACTTCTTTGGGAAATATTTGGACCTTTTTGCACCATCAATCAAAAGCAGAACTGAAAAATATTGAAAATAATAAATTTAACATGGTACAATGTATGCATGGCATAGTACTATAATGAAAATAGAATGGCAAAACATAAGCATAATATTTTTTAAAGTAGAAGTGAAACATTTCTATTTCCTCTACATGTGTTTGTGCCCTATTATCAATTTTGTTCTTCTGAGAACATGTTTCTGATGCTACAGCTACAAGTTGGTGGAAGCTCCAGACAAGGGTCCCTCACTGACAAGACTGCAGAGCTGGGCAATCTCCACACATTAACTCATATGAGACATGGAGGGCATCCAAAATGTCGGTGTTTTTCTAATAAAAAGCACAGATATTGTTATGTTGTTTATAACCCATAGTTGAGGAACATAAGCTTGCCTTATATACTCTTCTTTGTTCACATATGTCTACAAGGCAGGAACTGGAATTTATATAAGTGTATTTCCTGAGCCATATTGACAATTTCCATTTCATAGATAGGAATGAATGTATTTCTAACTATAAATAAAATCTTGATGCTTTGCAAATGCAAAGATAAGCACGTAAATTTTGCACTAAGTGCATTCTGAGAGCTGGCATTCTTTCCTTTATCATATTTATCATCACATAATACTCTTTTTGAGTATCCCTCTTCATCTAGCCCCTTCATCCAACTATTAGATTTATGAAGGCAGGAAGGGATCTTCTTTGTTATCCTTTACTATGCCAGATTCATTACAAAATATTGGTATATGGGAATGATATTTAAATAGAAAGACATACAGTTATATTGTAATGGATATAATTTTAATTACATTGAGCATGCTTATGATGATCATATTTCTGTTCTATCATTGGTGTTACTGTCAACATAATTGCTGTGGTCATTAATAAAAATGGTATTATTATCATTTATATAACCTCCTTTGATCTATTTTATTTAACAATTCTTCTCACATTCTGTTTTGTTCCTAAGATGTACCCAGATTCTTTCCTCAATGTCTGTTTTTTATCTACACCATCACACTCTAACCACATTACTTCCTGTGCCCTGATATTTTCAGTCCAGAAACAGTTAAAAATCATAGATCCAAAGTCAGAGAACTTCTCTCAAATAGGAGATGTGGGGACTAAAGGGAACACAGAGCCCTGAGGAGAATGTATTATTCCCTGGGCCTCAGAACATAATATTCTGGGATGTTGACCACCGCAATGTGCTTAGCTCTGGAGATGACTTTCAGTGATGGGAGAAGCATAATTTATTATGGTTTCTTATTTGCCAAAAAACCAGGAAATCTAGTTGTACTCTTTACTGAAAAACAATGATCTGTCTGTATTTCAGAAAACCAGACATGGTTATCCAATCAAGCTCTGCATCAATATCCACTGCAGATTCAACTCCTCTCTCACTAGGGGCTGGGGGTGAAAGAATAGGCTTATTTCCTTCCTGGGGACTGCCGTAGTACATTAGCTCACAGGAAAGATTGAAGCCAACATGGAGAAAACAACTGAAAACAAAAGTATGCCTGAGAGTACATGCGTGGTGTGTGTGTGTGAGTGTGTGTGTGTATTTATCAGAGACAGAGCTTGAGTAGTTTTAACAGTGGTGTCAGGGAACTGAAAAGTGCTGTATCTGAAAATTCAGGTCCTTTTTCATTGCAACTAGAGACTTTATCCTGAATTGGAGGATTGGCATTCCAGTAACTGAAAAGACATGACTATTCCTGGGTTGATATTTGTCAATAATTAAAGAGTATCGCTAGTAAATCACAGTCTCAGTCATCATAGTAAGGGGGTAAAAGGAAGGCAGACCTCAAACGGAAATTTTAGAAGATCAATTTTACACACACAGAGGAATGCCCGCTTTGCAATTTTTATTAATATAAGTTTATAGTTTATTGATCCACTCATGAAAAATCTGCACAACCATCACAGATAAAGTCACCGAAGAATCTTTACTCCTTCTGTTGTTCAATCTCCAGCTCACTTTTTGCCAGCACTAACATTGGCCTTGGCAATCCCCCTGACTTTCTTCATTCTGTTCTTGAGTTCCTTTCTCTGTTTTCCTGAGGTCTTGTTCTTCTCCTCATATAGGCCATGTCTTGCAAGTCTGTGTTTGGGTTCATTTTTCTTTGCGTAATCCAAGTAATCATAAGTCCTGCCACCACCAAAGTGGGTTCTGAATCCAAACACAAAGATGACATCAGGTGTGGTCTTATACATTTTGGCTAGTTTTTCCCGAATATCTGTCTTGGGTACTGTTGCCTTCCCAGGGTGAAGGACATCAATGACCATTTGCTTCTGCTGAAGTAGTCTGTTGGTCATGAACTTCCTGGTCTGGATAGTTAACGTGTCATTCATGATGAAGGTTGATCTTCAAGCAGCCAGTGAGGAAAAGAGCTGCAACTCTTTTTTATATCAAAGATCATCCAATGTGAGTCATTTGGAAATTCCTATGGACATGCAGGGATGAGAGCAGCTAATAATTGATAAGAGAACCATTTAATTAATCAATTAATTAATCTATTTATTTATTTTAACTTTTACTTCTTTGGAAAAAGATTTGGGAATAAAAATTCCAAAGAGAAGGGGGTTCCACAAGTTCTGAATTGGTGGGAATATCCATTGCAGAAATAATGCCCCTGTTGCCTCATTGGAGGAGAAGAACTGGCTTGTCTTTGTTCCTTAAAACTTGCACCTCACTGCAAAAGTAAGGCTGGCCTGGCAACAGAAATTTACCTAACAGTTGTTTAGAAATCACACAATTGTACTGGTTACACTACTGTATTTCTGTGAATACTAATTTTTTAAAAAAATTTTAATCTTCACTCAAGGATATTTTCTCCACATTAATTTTCAGAGAGAGTGAAAGGGAAGTGAAGAGACATGGAGAGAGAAGCAGCGATGTGAGATAGATACATCAGCTAGTTGCCCCCTGCACACGCCCCGACTGGGACCGAGACCAAGCCTGCAACCAAGGTATGTGCCCTTGACCAGAATCGAACCAGCAACCATTCAATCTGCTGGCCAAAAGTCAAACTGGAGAGGGCAATAATAACTTTTTAATGCAGAACAAATATAACCCAAATTCAAGTTCAATTTCAATGACATATATTTACTGTAGAAAAATGAGAAATATTAACTAGGAAACTGTACAAAAATACTTATTTTTAATTAACTAAAATTCAAAGAAAGTTATAATTCTTTCATCAAATTACTTTATTTCTTACAACAAAGTAGAATAATAATTGTGAAAGTAAGCTAAACTAATATGTATTCTTAAAATAATTTATTGCCATCACAGTAAGAGAATAGCATACCTGATTATTAATTATGTACTAGCAATGACAGAGGTTATTAAAAAGATTCTGTTGTAAAATTACCACAATACCTCAAGTACGATTCATATATATATTTTTACAAATGTGAAATATAATATTCTAGGATTTAGTTTATTTGATCAGAACTAATATGTAGTAACAGTAGAATTATAATAAAGTGCTCAATGTCATACACACACATGCATTCACATACACAGTCTTATCTATCACTGGCAGACCTGGACGTGTCTAGACAGCAGCACAGAGGTATCTGGCATCTGAAACATGAGACTTCAGTAAAAACCACCAAGCACCCCTTAACACAAAAACCTGTTTAATGAGACACTGACACAGTTTATATTTCTCAGTAATTAGTGGGGGAAATGTTTATTCAGTTGAGGCACTTACATGTTATACACTTAATGGCATTTTTCTTCTCACAATGATTCTAACTATGGTGGGTTTTATTACCAGGACCATTTAAATAAAATACAATCAGCATTCAAGTATTTTATTCCTGGTTCATTGTGCATATTTGGAGAGCCTGGACTTGAACTCAGACACTGGGGACGCAAAGCTTCCTCTGTTGGTACATATTATTTATAATATTTTCTCCTTCACTCCTTGATGAATAATAAACATAAAGGGGTAAACTGACACACACATGAGGACTCATTCTGTAGTGAATGACTCCTATACAGAGACTTCAATAATGTACAAAAGTTGTTAGAAAGCTTTCCATCATCTCAGTCAGAGGCAGAGGACATGAGATTTAAAAAATTGGTAGAGATGTTATCTACAGGCATGTCATTTTTTAAGAGACATTAGTCACTTTCTTTTCTTTTTAAAAAATATACTTTATTGATTTTTTTTTTACAGAGAGGAAGGGAGAGGATAGAGAGTTAGAAACATCAATGAGAGAGAAGCATCGATCAGCTGCCTCCTGCACAGCCCCTACTGGGGATGTGCATGCAACCAAGGTACATGCCCTTGACCGGAAACGAACCTGAGACCCTTCAATCCCCAGGCCAAAGCTCTATCCAGTGAGCCAAACCGGCCAGGGAAAATGACATTAGTCATTTTCCTTAGAATTATAGAAATGATGAATTAGGATTCTTTATTAATGCAAATAAGATATTGGATAAAGAAATCATGAGGCAAATTGTATACCCTACTGATGAAAGAAGGGTGTGCAAATCAGAAGAAAAAAGGCAGCAAAGATGTGATGGTGACAGTGATGCAGAAAAACTCAGTTTGTTAGATGCATTCAAGGAAAGAGGTTCTACACAGAAGTGGGTGAGAGTATGAGAGGTTTAAGAGCTTGGAGAACACAGTTTCAGGGAGCCAGGATATTCCATAGAATCGAAATATGGATAAATTTCCTGATTAAAGCAACATGAAGAGAATTTATAGATGAGAAACCCATGGTTTGTGATATTCAAAAATGAGATAGTGGAGGCCGTGTAGTCTAAAAAAACTCCAATACGACGGGGAGGAACAGTGAGGAACAGGGTTAATGGAGAGGGGTTGGGGGAGTCAGAATCCACAAAAGCCTGATATTGGGAATACTTCTGTAACCCTATAACCCAGTAGCCATTTTTAGGTTGATATCGAGAGCAAACAGGCTGATTTTTTCCCCCAAAATCTATCCCAGTGGAGACTGGGTATCTCCTGCTACATACTCCCAAAATCCAGTTCTGACACTGTGGCACATCTACCTCCCAGTAATGCTTCCCTGATGTGATAGGTGGGAATCCCAGGACAACATAATCTTCTCTCTCAGGTGGACAATGTGCTCTCTTATAGAAGTCACTTCTCCCTTTTCTCTTATATGCAGAAATGTCAACATTTGATTGGTGATTCAGGGTCATGTTTGCTGTAAAAAAAATTACAGTGTTGTGTCAGGAAAATGATGTACTATTACTTATGACATTGCAAGAGAGATCTTCAGAAAAAAATGAGTAGGAACTGGAAAAAAAACTTGTTTTAGTTTTTAAGGAGCAGGATAACATTGCAGAAATATAATATGTATGTGTGTTGGAAGGAAAACATGGATCTTAACAACCTCTCACACCCTCATCCACTTCTGTGTGGAGCATTTTTCCATGGGTGCATCTAACAACCTCAGTTTATCTGCATCACTGTCACCATCTTATTTTTGCTGCCTTTTGATTTTTCTGATTTGAACACCCTTCCTTCATCAGTAGGATGTACAATTTGCCTCCCGTTACATTTATCCCAAGATATTATTTGCATTAGTAAAGAGACCTAATAGAAATGCAATATTCTAAAAGAAGATGAGGACAGGGTAGCTTCATGATACTGTGATTTCTACTTACCCCAGTAGCGGCGCACGTCTGTCAGTTCTGAAAGTAGAAAATATACATAATATAAAATATAAGCAAAAGAGTCTACATTAAAATCTATTCTCTCTCCAGATCAGGGGAAAGACTGGTGTCTATGTAAGGTAGTACATGGAAGAATGAGAGGTGAACAAGGCAGTTGACCACTCCCCAGTGAATATGCCCATATAGTCAGCACATAATATCCATTTTCCTTTGTCTCCTCTATCCAGACCTAGAAAGTGAACTCTTCTTCCTCTTTAACCACCATCATAACAAGAATCCACAGATACCCTCTCTCTCTACCATTCCTCACCATTAAATACTTTCAGCATCCCTCTCAGATCAGGAACTTGGAACACTCTCCTCTGTTTCTTGGGGAGAGTTTTTAGCTTCTTCAGAGTGAAGGTATTACTCCTAGGGATGACAAAAAAAAAAAAAAAAGATCTCCACACCTCTGCAGTTTTTGTCCTCCAAAACCACTGATTTTTATCCATTCACCCTATTGAACACTTGAGCCCCCATTCATGGGCCCCTGAGAAAGTAGAGAGGAGACCTCTGCACTTAGAGCCCTTTCATGGACCACTGAGGAACTAGAGGTTAGGCTTCTGAACTTAGAGCCAGAAAAATTGTGCTTGGTCCACTTTCCCCGGAGCCTTTTGCTTGATCTTGGGAAGGAGTATACCTCTCAGAAGCACAATTTATTCCTTTCAAAGTGAATGTCCTCTCCCTCTCTAACTTCTAAAAATCATATGAAATTATATACAATAGTGTATTTCTTTAAAATGCAAAGTTTGGTACCTTGAAATAAATTAATGTAAGGAAAAGCCATGGCATGGGTCTAGATTCCCAGAATTATGACAAGAAAGGAAGGTTGCAGAACCTAGCTCCTGGTGCTTTGAGGCATACTGTATGGAAATACTCTCGGGAGAGGACCAAGACCTTTAGGTGATAATCACCAGAAGGGAGGCCCCAGGAACAATATCTGAGATTTCAGTTGCTCTGGGAAAAAAAATGTAACACTTGGAAAAGACACTATAGACACTATACTAACAGTGGTCTGAATTTCATGTGCTTGGAAGAGATTGATGTCGCCAAGTAGATGTTCAAATTTAGACATAGCAGTATCTGCTTAAGTCCTGTGGTTAGAGCATCAGCCTGAGGACTGAAAGGTCACAGGTTCTAGTCCTATCAAGGGCATGTGACTGGGTATCCCAGTAGATAGAGCACCAGCCTGTGGACTGAAGGGTCCCAGGTCCAATTCCAGTCAAAAGCACATGCCCAGGGTTGCAGGTTTGATCCCCAGTATACGGAGTGGAGGGGGGGGGATCATGAAAGGGCAGCCAATCAATGATTCTCTCTCATCATGGATGTTTCTATCTCTCTCTCCCTATCTCTCCCACTATGAAATAAATTTTTAAAAAAAGGCATGAGAAAGATGGATCAATTGTTTGTGCTGGAGTCAAAATATTCCTTGATATTTAAAGTTGTTTTTGGAAAATACAGAGAAACATAAAAGGAATATAACTGAGTTGTCTCAAATTCTGGCTGCTTAGGAGCTGAAGAAAACATGACATTCCAAGAATAAATCCATCACCTATGAACTGCAGAAATCTGAGTTAGATACAATCATGCTGATTGAACAAAATTAATGTGGTCACATGGGCCTGATATTGCAACATCTTATGTTTAACTGCTTCTAATCCAAACTCTGCAACTTCTCCCCATCTAAATTC